TCAAGTTATAGTCATCATACTATAGTTGAGCAGCTTCTGTTATTACTGTAGTTAAAGGAAAAACTACAGGTTAACAACATACATGAGATCTTAAGATCATTATTTTAATCTTTTCCAGTATTACCATCAAAATTTTTACTTTCATATAACTACATTTAAAAATTTTTAAATTCATTTAAGTTAGAGTTAGCATTTATAATAGGGCTAGGTTTTAGAAAAGTAATAGTAAAATTACTTAAGAAAATTTTTTTGTTAGAGCTCAAAAGGTGGTTTTCTATGCTAGTTTTTGAGAAATAGGTGATTTTTGAAAAGCAAACATTTTGTTTTAATCTTTCTGATCATGTAATATTATATTAAAATAAAAAACATTATTGGATGATCATCATGTAAAAGTAAAAATTTGACAGTGATACTGGGATAGTTATTATTTTATAAATGGATGCATGTGCACTTATATATAATGACTTGTTTTGTTTATTAAAAGCTCAAATACTATTTTCAATTTTAGATAAGTAGAAGATTAATGTATACTAATAATTGGTCATTTTGTAACAAATATTTTATTATTTATTTTATCATTAGATGCAACTTTTACAATAATGAGTTCATTAATATATCTGAATTTTATAATATTGAATATAGTAATAAACTAAATATTTATTTTATTTATTTTTCTGTTTCTTTTTCTTTTTCTTTTTTGCTTGTTCTAATACTTAGTTTTCTTTTTTTAAGCTAATTTTTATTTTTATACATCATATTTATATTTTAATTAAAAAGTATTTGATTTTTTTTCATGATTACTTTATTGTTCTTTATTGTCATTCTTTGCTTCCAAGTTCAGATCATTTTTTTGTTCAAAAATTAGATTAATTTCTGCATCAGAGTTGGCAAAAACGAATAAGTTTTTAAAAGAAAATTAATAGTTGAAAGCTTGTATAGTACTAATTTCAGAATCATCAGCAATAATATCAATGATTAAACAAGTTTTTTGTGGTTTATCAGATGATATTTCAGGCACAGTGAAATCATAAATTGATTTATGTATAATAAAAAATACTTCATCAGATTCCAATTTTAAAAAAAACTCAATAAATATATAGATCATCTCATCACTTCTGATACATAAATCTGATACATTTGAATTAAAATATAGTTATATAATATTTTATATATTAATTTGCAATTAAATAAATATATTTAATATTTGAAGATTTGTAAAATATTATTTAAAAAAAATCTCAAAATTGGTTAATTTTTTTAAAAAAATTAAATAATTAAAATCTTTTGATAAATTTTTAAATTAACCAATTATAATTAAGTATTTTTTTATATTACTATATAAGTACTTTGGTGTAATCTTAATGTATAAACTTGTATAATTTCAATCATGATTATTATATATAAAAAAAAGTTATAATAAAAAGAAAATTATCTTTTAAATTAGTTTACTATATAAAAAATTTGTAATTTTTTTTTTGTATTAAGGTGAGAACTTGCTTATATTTTTATTGATAGTTTTTAAAGTTAGTAACTTTATAGAGTTATTATATACAAAAATAATTTTATATAAATGCTATGACCAAGACTAATACTTGCAGTTAGAGTTAACTATTAAACTGCTAATTATATATAACTAATTTAAGTACAAATAAGAAGAAAACTATATTCAAGAGTAAAGCTTAGACATATTTATCTGTGATCTAAATCTACTAGAATAGTCAAAACTCACCTAGATTTGAATAATTAAAATATAATTAAATAAGATATTATATTTGATTTAGAAAATAGTCAATATATTTATTTTTCTAATAATATGACTGAGAGATAGGCATATATTGGAATTTAAGTATACTTAGTTAGGTAGTTTATATATATATGAATATGTATATGTTTGGCAGTTGTATTTAGTTTGTCTATTATAATTAGTTTAAATTAAGTATTTAAAAAAAGAAGGTTTAAAACCTTAATGTTTTTTCCAATTTGAGAAATTTATACAATATGGTTTTCAAATTAGTTGATAATATAACTCATTAATTTCAAGTAGTATTTTAATAGCTGTTTGTGATGCTAATTTGTAAAGTTTTGAATTGTTTGAATTAAAGATTTAGATATAAGCCTTTTAAAAATAATATCAAAATAGAATAAGTTTTCATTAAATGGCATTTAATAAAAAATTTATAGTTTTGAATTTTTTAAATAAGTTCTTCTTGCTAAAGTTTAGCAGACAAGGGACATTCCTACTTACAGGGGTTCAAAATGTTTTAATTATAGGTCAAATGACTTGATATACTTCAATTTTATATGTAAATTTATGAAAAAAATTTATTTAATCTTGATTTACTTAAAAAAATAAAAAGAAAGTTTTTTT